CCCTGCCCAGTCGCTGCGTCCCAATGCGTGTTTGGCGCTCATCACTCCTCCCCTTTTTGGATGGATGAGGCTGGCCGGTTCTGTCCTGCTCATCTCCCCTCTCTCCAACCCCCTCCCCTTCCCCCTTGCAACACGCCAGTCGCTGGGTCCCAACGTGCGAGTGGTGCTCATCACTCCGCCCCCAGTGGACGAGGCCGGTCGGTGCTCTCCTGCTTATCTCCCCTCTCTCCAACACTCTCCCCCATCCTCCCCCTGACAAATTTCCCCCTGTACCATGCAGTCGCTGGGTCCCAACGTACGTGTGGTGCTCATCACTCCGCCCCCTGTGGACGAGGCCGGTCGCATGGAGTTTGCCAAGTGAGTCTCCTTGTTGAGATTATAGAAGAGTTGCCTTCCTTCTGTGATGTGTGAATAACCTTTATTACTCCCTTGGAGACTGCTCTGTTCTCATGTCATGTCACGAGTCCCTCTGGTGCTCATCACTCCACCCTCTGTGGACGAGGCTGGTCACATGGAGTACGAGGGCCTAATGGTTTGTTTTTTTTTAGGCAGCGCATGAAGGAACCGGAGCGGACGAACAAGGTGACGGGCAAGTATGCGGGGGGGGTGAGGGAGGTTGCAGAGGCATTTGAGTCTTGGCTCTCGTGAGGTAATGCTGCTCAGTCCTTCAACCCACACTCTGAATCCCCTCCTCCCTGCTCAGAGGAATGTACGGAGAGCAGTGCATGAAGGAACCTTGGTGTACGAACGAGGTGACGGGGAAGTATGCAGCAGCAGTGGGGGGAGGTGGCAGAGGTGTGCGAGGGCATGCCTATTAAGTCCTAATCCCGCTACATTTCTCTCACTCTCTTACACCCCCTCGTTTGCCTCAGAGCAATGTATGGCGAGCAGTGCATGAAGGAGCCAGAGCGTACGAACGAGGTCACGGGCAAGTATGCAGCAGCGGTGAGGGAGGTGGCAGAAGCGTGTGGGAGCGTGCCTGTAATTGACCTCTGGACCGTGCTGCAGCAACAACCCAACTGGCAGGCCCTGCTCAGGTAACACACACATGCATGCACGAATATATGCACTCGTACACACGCACACAGTCGTGCTGGTGAGCACATGAACGGGCTATGTGGGGGTGGTGAGGGAGATGGCAGGCAGAGGCGTGTGGGGGCGTGCCTGTGATTGACCTCTGGACCGTGCTGCAGCAACAACCCACCTCGCCCTCCCTGCTAAGGTCAGCACGGACACACACTCATTCTCACACTCTCACACACACACACACACACACACACACGCACGCACGCACGCACGCACGCACACACACACACACACGCACACACGCACAGATGCACATACACTCATGCACACACGCACACATATGCACTCTTCTCTCTCATGTTCCATCTTTCCCTGTCAGGCCCGCATACAATCTTCATTCTTCACAAAGCTTTCTGTTTTCACACTGCTGTGACAAAGTTCACGTTGCCTCTGCACACCCATCATTCGTTATACTCTCTTCCCTTACCTCCCTCCAGTGACGGGCTTCACTTGGCTCCTGCGGGAAACAAGGTGCTGTTCGAGCAGCTGTCATCGCTTCTCCAGTCAAGTGCTGATTGGACGCCGCCTCTGGTGCAAGAGAGCATGCCATGGGACTTCCCTGAGCATATCAATATTGACGGAGAAAATCCAGGGAATGCATTCAAGGACTACTTATGAGATGGAAATGAATGTGTAAATTTGTCTTCTGAAGTGGAAAAATTGCATGGTAATCCACTAAAATTATGTAGCAGCATTGGATTTGTGTGGTTACCCAGTACAGTGGTGTGGCCGCATCAGGGCTTGATTTGCTTACTCCATCCTGGCTATTGTGTGGTGGATGCAGTGTATTAGCTAATGCAGCAGGATCTTAGGATGGTGTACCTCAGGTTAAAAGTTTTCCAATGCATATCGTTAGGATGAGGTGAAGTACCAGAGACTGTGACGGGGCACCTTATAATGCACCAATAATCCAATCCCCCAAAACCAACCCCCCCCTCCAGCCATCACACGCAACAGGGACCACTTGTCACACGCACCACTTGGATTCAAACTTCTGGCGTTGATTGCTGGGTGCTGTGTCTGAGAGCTGCTGTTCCCTTCTCATACCTGCTGCCGCTGGCTCTGATAAGCCGAGTTCTCTGAGAGCGGTCGTCCGTGAAAGCCGGGATTTCAGGCAGTGCGTTATCTGGTTTCCGCCGCCATGTCGACGCCGAACAAGCGGAGGGAGATGGATGTGATGAAGCTGTGAGTTGGTGGTTGCAGTTTAGCAGATTAGGGTTTCCCGGTTTAGCAGCAGGATTTGACGTCGGTTTGTTTGCTGATAGTGCAGGATGATGAGTGATTATAAAGTGGAGCTTATAAACGACAGTATGATCGAGTTCAACGTCTATTTTCACGGACCTAAAGAGAGTAAGCTTTCTCCCTTTCTTCTCAGTTCTGCGTCGCTTCGCTGCTCGTCGGATTCATCTCATCCCGTATATCAACTCATAGTCGGCAGGTCCATATGAGCGTCTCGCTTCCTTCTTAAAGACACCCCCCTCACTTCCTGCTCGTCGGATTATTCTCACTTCCTTTTTTATACTCAACGCTGGCAGGTCCATATGAGGGAGGCGTATGGAAAGTCCACGTTGAGCTCCCTGATGCGTATCCCTACAAGTCCCCATCGATTGGATTCATTAATCGGATTTACCACCCTAACGTCGACGAATCGTGAGGAGTTGTTATTTTCGCCGTCGACAAGCTTCCCATTCTCGTCGCGCAGTGTGGGGTAGAGCAGCGCGCGCTACTAACGCGTTTTTCGTGTATGCGTCGGCGTTTTCCAGGTCCGGCTCGGTTTGTTTAGACGTCATCAATCAAACATGGAGTCCAATGTTCGGTGCGTGATGTGCATCGCTCATCTAGGCCGTCGGTTCCCCCTTAAGCGATCCTTTTATTAATTTCCTGTTGTTCAGATTACCCTATTGTTCTCTTAACTCGACTCGCGAATTGTCTCTCCATTCGTCCCTCCGTTCATTGCACGTCTCACGCTCCTCATCATTCCGTCACTGCAGACCTGATCAACGTATTTGAGGTCTTCCTTCCACAGCTCCTTCTCTACCCGAACCCAACTGATCCGTTGAATGGCGAAGCCGCAGCCATGCTCATGCGAGACCCAGAGCAATACAAGCAGAAAGTGAAAGGTAGTACTTTGAACCTCGTTTCCTTTCTCTCTCTCTCTCTCTCTCTCTCTCTCTCTCTCTCTCTCTCTCTCTCTCTCTCTTTCTCTCTCTCCCCCCCTCTCTCTCTGTCTCTCTCTCTCTCTCTCTCTCTCTCTCACACACACACACACACACACACACGCACACACACGCACACACGCGCGCACGCACACACCCTCTACTAATCTTCACCATGGCATAAACAGGGGATTGATAGCAGGTCTTTCTGTACTAGTGATTCGCACCATTCTGTAATCAACGGTCGCTTTGCCATCGTTCCCTCCATGATCCCTGCAGAATACTGTCTACGATACGGCAAGGCGGAGGATTTAGCCAGAAAGCACAAGGCGGATTCAGACGATGATGACAGCGAAGACCTGAGCGACTACGATGACAATGATGGTTCCAGCGATGAAGAAATGGCCGGCCCGACGGATTTATGAGCTGGCCAGCATGGCGTTTCTATTCAGTTGCCTCTTCCAGGCAACTAGGGCTATGGCATGTGCATGCCGCCTCTTGGCTGTCCTCCTCCTTGTAAATATGTTCCTCTGATCTGTTCACAGACCATCACTTTTTTTTTTTTTTTTTTTTACTTGATTTCATCACAGATGCTCTGTCTTCTTCGCTCCTCCCTGGCCCATGCTCCAACTCATGGCTTTCCAATTCCTTGGCTCGCTCCTTGCTCCTTTCTCCCCCTCTTTTCCATCTTGTTCATCTCTATCCGTGGTCTGAACCCCTACTCTTCCCTATCCGATACCATTTTTTTATTTGCCACACTACCCGGGTTCTGACTCCTCATGCGGCATGCATTCAATGTCAGCAATCATGGGATACAGGGAAATCAACCACCGTACACTGGGTATGTTGTGCGTACAAATAACACACCAACTGCACCTCAACATGTTACCCCCTCACATGGCTTGATTGGCTTGGCACCAAGGACCCATCCCTCAATTCCCTTGCCAACTTGTCCTAGCAAAGCAACGGCTTGCAGTCTCTCTGAGCTGTTTGGATTTATCATCCATAGTGTTGACCAATCTTCATTCAAGTAGGTACTGAAAAGGATCTCTGTATATTACAGAGGGATTGATGTCACTACTCCTTACAGTTCACTACGATACATTTTGTGGTGTCCAGTGGGCACCCCCCCTTCCCCCACACCCTCCTCAACTCCCTCCTCCCTCCCCTTCTTTCAAAACTGCCACAGCGCCCCCACCCGCCTCCTCCCCTATCCGCTCCCCTCCACACCACCACCAGCTTTTTAGAGATGCCGAAGCAAGGTTTGTGACCACCAAGCGGAAGCTAGCAGAAATCTTGAGTGATAGATGCCTTGCGTGATAGCAAAAAACTTTAATCTACGGCATCTCTCAAGATTTATCAGTACAACAACGTGTGTGTGTGTGTGTGTGTGTGTGTGTGTGTGTGTGTGTGTGAGTGTGTGTGTGTGTGTGTGCGTGTGCGTGTGCGTGTGTGTGTGTGTGTGTGTGTGTGCGGTAACACGTGTTTGTGCGTCCATATATGGTGTATGGGTTAGTCAGGAAGTGGCAGGCTATCTGATGTGAAACATCTCCTCAAAATGATACTAGCAAGCCTTCACACATGTATAATTCGCACACAACTGCTTGATTCTTGAGCCACGAAAACTGACGTGTTCCTAGTTGACGGCCAGTCATCTCTAGTTCAGAGATTGAACCCGCAGCATGACTGACTGTCAACTGGGAACGAAAATCTAACCCTAGCAGTCCTGCTTTTGGGGTGGTTTGCACGCCCCAGGATTTACACCTTTGTGTTCGTGGGAATCAGGACTTTATCCACGCCGTGAGCGATGAAGTACGGTCCAGCGTACAGCCTGACGATCTGGATCGTAGTCCAGGCGGCAGGGGGGGCGTTGGGCGTCTTGGCGAAAGAAACCGTGTTACCATTCTGCTGCGAAACCTTGTAAATCGCCTGCTTCAGCTGCGTGCCGAGCGGCTGCGACTTCTTGAGCACCTTGAGCGCGGGAACGGTGTACTTCTTGCGGATAATGTGGTACGCCGTAATGTTGTAGATTCTGGGGATGTTGGCTTTGTTAACGGGGACCTTCTTAGCGAGGGCCTCCGCCTCCGTGTCGCTGGGGAGGAGCAGAGTTGCGTCGCTGAGCGCTGTGAAATCGTACTTGGAGTTCACTGGAGGGGGGAGAGGGAGAGGCGGAGAGGGAGAGAGAGAGCGAGAACATAGAATGAGGAACGGCTTAATTAGCATTTAGTTACCGCAAGTGGATCAGTAGTTAAAAGGGAAGCAAGGGGAAAAAGTTTCGAGCTAGGGACTAAATATCTGGGCCACGGAACGAAGGTAAAGGACCGGCATGCATAGAGAAGCGGGGACAGTTTGCCTCGTTAGCATAAAAAAGTGAAAGAGAGCTCTTACGTGCAAGGCCGATGTACTTGTTGATGTCCTTGGCATATTTCGAGTATTGTGGAAACTTCTTAGTAATAGCGTTCGCCATGTTCTGAAGCTCCGCTTTTATTTGCGCCTTGGTGGGCGTCGCCGCCTGAGCGTGCGCGCTCGCGAAGCACAGCGCGATGCAGAGCAGCCCAAAGAGAGAGAAGTACCGTGAGCTGGCCATGGCTGGGAGAAGTTTGCACGATCGCACAGGTGGAAGTGGTACCGTGCGGAGTGTGTTGGGCTGCTGGGCGAACCCGACGCGAGTGAGTGGTTTCGGGTGGGAAGGGAAGTCAAAGGCACGAATGATGAATTCGAGAGAAGCACGAAGGAATTTGATGGAAGACCAAGGCACGGCAAGTCATTTATAGAAAGGGGCTGGCTGGGAGCGGCAGCGCGTCAACACAAACCGTACCGACACGCGGCGCGAGAAGCGGCGCGGGCAGCCCAGGCGAAGCTACATTTCCAGTGGCAACGGTGACACCCTTCAATTCGCCTTGCTGGAATATAGGAGACGAGAGGCAATCCTCGCCTCGCCAATGTCGCGAAGCCGGTTGACGAGAAGTGGTGGTGCTGTCGGCTCGGGTCGCGGTCCGTGTGAAGCGGCGAGAATTTCCATTACAGGGCAACATTTTTCCTCCTACTCTATAGAATCATTTGACACAAGGCTCGTAAACAGTCACGCCAGAATAGCGTGACAAAATCATAATAAAGACAAGTATGTCTCTTTATAGATTGTTGCTGTTGAAGACGATTGCAACTTCTATTCCAATAACACCTGCTAAAGGAAATCCACACAATATGCAACCCTGTACATAGGTACATACATGCTTCTATCATGTACTAGTCAACAACATGCAACTAGGAAAAATATACCACACAACAGCATAAGTTTGGCAATCTGATGCACTAGGAAGCTGCTGCACACCATATAGGTAAGATTCTCACTTGAATGTTGCCATTTTACGAAATGGCACCATGCGCTTCCTGTTGAAGGGAGAAGGGGGAGGCGTTAGTACTTCAACCACAGCCACAAGTATGGTAAGTTGCATTGTAGGGAAAGGGAATGGGTAGTGGGAAGATACGGGAGGGGCGCATGTGTGGGAGCCGTGAACCCAGCGGAGTCACTGGAAATAGAGCGAATTACGATGGTGTGTCACGCGCATGGCAGGTGGCTCCAACGTGAGCATACTCACTTTGGCGAGACCAACCCAAACGAGGATGTGTCTTTGGACTTGCCCGTTTCTTCCGCGCTTCCCCGTCCCTCCTCGCTCTCGCACTCCGCAATAGGTTCGGCCACACTTAGGGATACAATGTCATTTGAGTCAGACACAGCAGCGGAGGAAAGTCCGCCAATCCCAGGCTTCCCAGACAAAAACTGCGCGGCAGACTTGGCAGCAACCGCATTGTTCTCCCCGCTAGAAGCTCGCGACTTATCCGTTTTAAACGAGAACCATTTTGAAAAGCGACGGGAGGGCGTGAGCGGGGGGGCGACGCTCCCGCTGGGGGTAGTTGGGGCGGCGGAGGGGAGGGCGGAGCAGGACAGCGGGCCGTGGTCGTCGGAGGCGGAGGGGGAGTCAGGGACAGTGAGGGCGGGGAGGAAGGGCAACCCTCCGCCTGAGGATTTTCCGCGGATGCGGAAGGAGCGCGCGGAAATGAGGGAAGAAAGGGCGCCGGTGCTTGTGCGTTTGCTTATGGTTCCGCCTCCGCCGCTGTTCGACGCGCGCGCTGCATCTTTGTGCGGAGCAGCAGCGGCGCTGGTGCTGTTGGGCGTGTCGCTAGGAGTGCTGCCGGTTGCGGAACCGAGGGAGAAAAGCCCGCCCGCGCTGGTGCTCTTGCGGATGCCGCCGCCGCCCCCGCCACTGGTGCTGCTGATTGGAGAGTTCCCAGCGGTTACATCGGTGGCAACGGTTTCAGCGATTTCAGCGGTTTCAGCGCTTAGTGCAGTGGGGTCCGTGTCGTTAGCAATGGCGGCGGTGGTAGGGGTAGCGACTGCCGCAATCTCCGTCTCCCCGCTCTCCTCCTCCCCGCTCTGCGCCGTCGCGCTCTCCGCCACCGCGCTCTCCGCCACCGCGCTCTCCGCCGCCGCGCACTCCGCCACCGCGCTCTCCGCCTCCCCGCTCTCCGCCACCGCGCTCCCCGCCGATGTGCTCTTCTTTGCGCTTTCCTCCTCCGGGCTCGCCTCCGCCGATTCAGGTGTTTCCGTCGATTCTGGCGTTTCCGTCGATTCTGGCGTTTCCGTCGATTCTGGCGTTTCCGTCGATTCCGTGCTTTCTTTCGCTTCCGTTGGGGCCTCTGCTGTATTTGCCGCCTCTGCACGCTGACGCGCGGCCGCCTCTCGCGCCGCTTCTTCAATCATCATGATTTGCCAGAGTAGGCGGCTCTCCTCGTCCTCGTCGCCCGCCTCGAACACCCCGCTCTCCGCGATCGCCTCCATGGCTCCGGCTTTACTCAGCGCGCCGCCGTCCATATGCTCCCACGGATGCGTCGCTAAGCCCAACGACGCCGACGAGGCGGTTGCGTGGCTGTGGGAACTGAGGACCTCGGTCATGGTTGAGCGGAGGTAAGGCGGTAATAAAGGCGGCCAAAGCTGAGGCGGAACTGGGTTACTGATTGATGCCTTCGAATCTAGGCCCCCTCCGGTAGTTCCTTCCTTCCAGAAATGAACGTCTACAACGAATTCGCCGTTCTGGGGAGGAAATAGGCTTTTTGGGGCTCAGGAGTCAGGACGCTTCCACACGTGTTTTTAGGCAGCGAGGAGAGGCAGGGGAATCCTCCTTCCGAGACCACAACAAAGCAGCAGAGCACACAAGCAACAAAACACAAAGATGTTTTCCTCGCCTCGACCCGACCAAATTCCTTCGAGGCCCAGGTTGTGAGGGATGATGCAGTTGGATTGGATGTAGTTCAGCAAGGGGCTTCCAGGCGAAGGTATTTTTTTTTTCTGTGGAGCCCGAAGCGCATCCGTGACTTCTGTGTTTCTCTTGGGGCCAACATCATAGACATGCGAATTAGTGTGGTAACCCTATCCAATGGTATGCAAAACCGTCTTACCTCTGTTTGCAAGTTATTGACATGCTGCCCTGAAAGCACGTTCGTTTTTAATTCAAATTTGATCTTTACCGCGCTTGCCTTCGCGCTAAGACGTGATTTCTTCGGGCCAAGAAAAAAATAAAACCCGATCGGAAAGGGATGCGTCAGGGAGGCATCAACCCTAAAAACAATGTCCTTTCCCGTGTTTAGGGTTGATCCCTCCCAGAAATGCGTCCAGGTCCCTAGGGGTTTTATTGTTTTTCTGCCCTGCCCCTACATTTCCCGGTAGCAATATATTGGTCCAAATTAATGTTATCGAAATGGACCCCGTAGCCTTTCATTCCAGTGGATTTTTCGTCACATTTAGCGGAAAATAGTAGCCGGCAGGAATATTTGTTAGGCGCCGAACAAGACGCGGTAAGAACCACGACGATACGAAATCGAAAACGCAACTGATTCAATCCCATATTTTCTTCCTTTTCTGTGCTGCGTCAGCTGTTACACAGTGTTTTGAGTGGCGCTACCAGACAATTTTGCGCAGCAGAACTGGGGTATCGACGGTTTTGCATACCATCGAATAGGGTTACCAGACTAATTTGCATGTCTATGATGTTGGCCCTTTCTCTTGTGGGTGGTCCGATTGCATTCACAGCAGCACGAATCGTATCGCGTGTTCCCACGTTCCGTCGAGATTCCTCGTTTCGCCGTAACATCGAGCGGGTGAATTGCGAAGTCGCAAGCGTTCGCATTTGCTGCGAGCTTCGTCCTCGTATTTTCGTGAACCGTAGGCGGGGCATGAGCTGGACCCGTGTTGGAGCAACTGTAACGGCCAAGTCAAGCGGAACTGTCATTGGCTCCCTTGCACGAGATGAATCACGACTTGGAAGATCCAAGTTGTGTGTCCTTGGCGAAGGGCATTGGCTGCGAGAAACTGCCTCGTAGTGATGACGACCGACTTGCGTGGCGGAGAGAACCCCAAAATGGGGAGAGAGATCTCATCTCCACTCGTCAAGCGTGTTACACGTCAGCAAATCACGTCGTGATACACCTCAACGAAGCGTTTCTTTAAAAAGGAACTTGTTTGTTACAACGGTTTGTAGAACAAAGGCAACCATAACAAGCATATTTACTACGTTCATATTATGGAGCCTTTCAAGTTCTAACAAGCTCCACTTCCTCGACATCAAAATCTACTCCACGCACCACCCCTTCCAGCAAGCCTGAAACCTGCATAAGCTCCAACTGACGATAACCATCAGGCTCCAACTGCACATCTCGCAACCCTAAATCATCACCTTCCACCCCACTAGCTGCACCATTCTCAACGTCATCACTGTACACTCCATCGTCTAGTACTTGCTCGTCCGAGGATCTTAAAGATTCAACGAGGTAAGGCTCGCGATCAACATCAGCATAACCACTCATGTTGCCACTATATGTGGTGGAAGAAGCAATGTCATCCCCGGAAGGGGGGAGGAGTGGTAAAGGCCGTATGTGCCAGTCGATTGGATGGTTGGTGATGGGTGGGCGGGGCGTGTGCATTAGTAGAGAATCAAGGGTTGAGTGTGATGCTTGGGGGGTGTGGGGAGGAGGAGGAGGAAGAGGAGGAGGAGGGGAGTGGGGGGGAGGTGAGGTAGCGACCCCACTTTTGCAAGAGGAAGAACCTTGGATGGAGGGATAGAGGGATCAGACAAGGGGGGTGATGCATGGAAGGGGGAAATTGACACAAGAGAGTTGAACTGGGTGTTTCAAAGGGTATGGAGGGTGGGATGTTGCAGCGACATTGAGTGGGATATGCATGGGTGCAAATGGGTTGAGTGGGAGCATTGATTGATGGTACGGATGAGAAACGTGATTCATTGTTAAGGAACATAGGGCCAACACCCATGTCATGTGCATGCATGAAAATAGTATTCTCAAGAGAAACGTATATGCAGAATGAAACGAGTGCAGTGTACAAGTGTACTATTGGATGAGAGCCATGAGCAGCACTTTTGAGACATCTAAAAAAAGCTTATATGCAGAATGAAACGAGTGCAGTGTACCATTGGACGAGAGCCACGAGCAACACAGAGGAGAAGATGGTGTTGGGGTGGAACGATGGCTTGTGCATGCATGGCAAAAGTATACTCAAGGTTAACTTGTATGCAGAATGAAACGAGTGCAGAACCGAGTGAAGTTTACCAGTAGTATATTCAAGCGAAACTCTTATGCAGAACGAAACGAGTGAAGTGTACCATTGGATGATGGCCACGAGCAGCACGGAGGAGAAGATGATGGGGATCCAAACGTTGGGGTGGAACGATGGGTGAACAACCATGTCATGTCCATGTTTGGCATAGGTGTACTTAACGTTAAGTTATATGCAAAAAAGAGTGAAGTGTACCACTGGATGAGAGCCACGAGCAGCACGGAGGAGAAGATGATGGGGATCCAAACGTTGGGGTGGAACGATGGGTGAACAACCATGTCATGTCCATGTTTGGCATAGGTGTACTTAACGTTAAGTTATATGCAAAAAAGAGTGAAGTGTACCACTGGATGAGAGCCACGAGCAGCACGGAGGAGAAGATGATGGGAATCCAGACGTTGGGGTGGAACTTGAGGAACCTGACGGCGATGGTGTGTGTGTATGTGAGGAACATGTGTGAATGGGACGCACGGGGATCCAGACGTTGGAGTGGAACTTGAGGAACCTGGTGGTGTGTGTGTGTGGGGAAGTGGGGGGGAAAGGGGGGCCATGTGCAGAAAGTGAAGTTCATTCGACGCATGCTAATCCAGACGTTGGAGCGGAACTTGAGAAACCTGGTGGGGATGGTGCGAGTGTGTGGGACAAGCCCTTGCAGTATGTGTGATTTTTGAGACGTTTGAGTCGACTCAAAAGAGGTGACTTTTGAGCCGACTCAAAAGTCACCTTGATGGTGCGAGTGTGTGGGACAAGTCCGTGCAGTGTGTGTGATTTTTGAGACATTTAAAAAGACGGATGGGATCCAGACGTTGGGGTGGGTGTGGGTGGAAGTCGAGGAACCTGATTGTGATGGAGTGTGTGGGTGGGAGCGCAAGTGCAGGAAGTGTGAATTTCATGGGATGCATGCGGATCCAAATGCAGGGGTGGAATTCGAGGAAGCTCTTGTTGTGTGGAAATATGGTACATCCCATGTCGGAGGAATTCTAAAGGCAGGGATGCAGCAAGGTGTTATTAATAATATTATTTTGTGTGTGTGTGTGTGCGCGCGCGCGCGCGCGCCTGGTTCGCGCGAGGTTACCACCCAACAATTTCAAGGCTCCGGAAGCATATGTGAGATGGTGACATGTTTGCCCATGCCATGCGCGTGTGCACGCGCGTGTGCATGCGCGTGTGCTTAGCGCCGCAGGACTGCTGCACGATTGGCACCGTCGGATTGCTGCAATCCGACGGCGCCAATTGAACAGCATATGTAAGATGACACATGTTTGCCATGCCATGCGCGTGTGCATGCGCGTGTGCCATGATATGCCATGGGAGGAACTCACGCCATTGTAGAGAGCAGAGGGAAGAAGAACGTGATGCCTGCACAGGGAGGGTGTGATGTGAGTGGTGTGCGGGGGTGAAGATGAAGAGGTGGGGATGATGAGGTGGGGATGATGAGGTGGGGATGAAGAGGGGTGGATGGGGGGGGTGAATGAGGGGGAGTGCAGGAGGGTGGCTTCAGAGAGAGTGAGTGGTACCAGTGATATTTATGTGAGCGCTGCACTCTCGTGTCAATAAGTGATCCCATAAGAAACTAGAGAACAATCCACAGCTATTGGACCATTTTTTCCGACAGATGGTTACTACTGACTGGTAGATTTGTTACCCGCAGAAAAGAGACGGAAGGTCAATCGCCAGTCGGACTCGCATCTGTATTAAGAAGACAAGACGAGAGGAGGAGAAGAAAGGGTATGAGGGGAGGAAAGGATAGGATAAGAGCGGAGGGGAAGGGAGAAAAGAATAGATGATGGGTGTATGGGGAAGGAGGCAATCACCAGTCGGACTCGCATCTGTATTAAGAAGACGATACGAGAGGATACAAGGACAGAACGTGAGCATATGAGCAGAGGGGAGGAGTGCCGGCACAAGGGAAGGGAAGAGTTCCAAAATAAGGAGGGTATGTGGAAGCCATTTTTAGGCGCCAAAAAAAAGCCGATTTTTAGTCGCCTAAAAAATAAGCCGAATTTTAGGCGCCTAAAAAATAAGCCGATTTTTAGGCGCCTCAAAAATCAAAATGAGGGTATGTGGAAGCGACAAGTACTTAGGAGCAGTTGACGAGAAGTCAGAAGAAAATCGGCCATAGGATGAGAAACTAGGGGAAGAAGGTTTAGTGAGACAGTAGTGGAAGGGTACAAAACAAATGGACTGGACAGGGAACGAAAAGGAAGATGAGAGGGAACGGGAGAGGGAGGAGAAGCGGGATGAGGCAAGGGATGACGAAATGCAGGAGACCAAAGTGAGATGATATACAAATGAAGAACCGTTTTTTGAGAATTCTCAAAAAACAGATTTGGCATTATGAGGGAAACGATACAAACAAAGACCCGTTTTTATAGAATTCTCAGACAACAGATATGGCATTATGAGGGAACACCTGAGGTCCCAGAACCGGTCGAAGCTCCTCAAGGCAGCTGGCGGGGCGGCGATCGTCGTCCTGTTGCCGCCTCCCGCCGCCGCCCGGTTGAGTGCGAAGTAACGGGCGGAGGCGAGAAACTCCTCCTCCTCCCTCACCTGAGGTCCCAGAATCGGTCGAAGCTCCTCAGGGCAGCTGGCGGGGCGGCGATTGTTGTCCTGTTGCCGCCCGCCGCCGCCCGGTTGAGTGCGAAGCAGCGCGCAGAGGCGAGAAACTCCTCCTCCTCCCTCTCGTGCACGTAGAGCTTGCCCATCCGCAGCACTGCTCCGAGAACGAACACTGCTATCATTGCTGCTACCACCATCAGCGATGGCTGGGAGGAGGGGTGCAGGGGGTGTGGGTGTGGGGCAGGAGGCAGGGTGTAGAGGGGAGTGGGGACGGGGGCGGGGGACGTGGAGCAAGGGGGAGGGGTTTCACGCTCTAGAGCTTGCCCATCCTCAGCACTGCTCCTAACACGAACACTGCTATCATTGCTGCTACCACCATCAGGGATGGCTGGATTTGGGGTTGCAGTGGACGGGGGCAGGGGGCAGGGGGCAGGGGGCAGGGGGCAGGGGGCAGGGGGCAGGGGGATAAATGCAGCAAAGGAGCACACGAAACTTCTCCTCCTCCTCCCTCTCGTGCACGTAGAGCTTGCCCATCCGCAGGACTGCTCCTAACACGAACAATGCTATCATTGCTGCCATTACCATCAGCGATGGCTGGGTGGGATGGAAAGGGGCCAGGGGGTAGGGGGCAAGGGGCAGGTGTTGGAATCAGCGAGAGGAACACATGAAACTCCTTTTCCTCCCCTCTCAGGGGAGAGGGGGAGGGGGCAGGGGAGAGGGGGAGGGGGCAGGGGAGAGGGGGAGGGGGCAGGGGAGAGGGGGAGGGGGCAGGGGAGAGGGGGAGGGGGCAGGGGAGGGGAGGGGGAGGGGGCAGGGGAGAGGGGGAGGGGGCAGGGGAGAGGGGGAGGGGGCAGGGGAGAGGGGGAGGGGGCAGGGGAGAGGGGGAGGGGGCAGGGGAGAGGGGGAGGGGGCAGGGGAGAGGGGGAGGGGGCAGGGGAGAGGGGGAGGGGGCAGGGGAGAGGGGGAGGGGGCAGGGGAGAGTGGGGAGTTTGGAAGTATGGGAGAGTAGGAAGCAGCGGGCTATCATGGCCGCCACCAAAAGCAGTGATGGCTGCATGGGATGGAATGCGGAATTGAAGACGGTGCAAGGAATATGGATAGCAGTCACAAAAATCTATCTACACGTAGCAGTGATGGCTGCAAGGGATGGAATGATGGATTGAAGAAGGTGCAAGGAATATGGATAGCAGCATTTACGTGGGGCATGGGGTGCCTGCACCTCGTGCCCCGTGGCCCATCCCCCGTGCCCCATCCCCCGTGCCCCATCCCCCGTGCCCCATCCCCCGTGCCCCATGCCCCATGCCCTTTGCACCGTGCTCCGTGCCCTGTGCCCCATGCACGCCTACCCACAGCGACTCACCACGAGAGCAGTGCAGAGGGCGTATGCCGTGACCAGGGCCTGCAGGGAAGGGCAGGAGGAGGGGAGGGCAAGCTGGAAAGTTGAGAAGGAGAGAGGCTCAAACCCACACAGCATAGCAATGCGATGGAGTGCAGTGCACGATGTATGAACATTACCATGGAAGCATCGGGGTCACTATAAGTGAACTCCACTGGAGCAGTCATGGTGGATCCGCCCCCTTTAGCCGCCACCCACGCCATGGCCCTCATGTGCTCCACACACACATTATAGCACGGTGTAGTGCGGTGGAGTGCGGTGGAGTGCGGTGGAGTGCGGTGGAGGGGATTGCAGTGCGGTGGGTGGAGTGCAGCCTCACCATTGGAGCATCGGGGTCACTATAAGTGAACTCCACGGGGGCAGTCATGGTGAATCCGCCCACAATAGCCGCCACCCACGCCATGGCCCTCATGTGCTCCGCCTTCTCCTCCACACTGCGCCTGTTGCACTCCTTGGTGCTGGTTGGAGGGGGGGACGAGAGGAGAGAAAGGCCAAGGAGTGTAAGATGACGGATTAAGACTGGCCTCTCAAACCCATATTTCTCCCCTTCTACCTCATCCGGCCTTGGTTACCCCAAGGTCAAACATCCGGCCTTGGTTATTTCACCCATCTGTCTCGGTTTCCCACTCACCCCAGTACAAACAAAGCCTAGAGACGTTCGCCAGATAATACGATATGCGGGATACACCGCCTCTGTTGTAAAGCGGTTCCTTACCGGTTCCACAGTTGCATGGCGTTGTCCACGTGGCGCTGCTGCATTATCTCGTGGCGCCACCTGGCAAGTGAGCATTGGAGGGAATGCGAAGACGCAGGTGGGATTTGGCTTAGAATGGTATACTGTTCTGAAGCGGATGACATACGAACGCTTGTTAAAAGCACGCACACCTGCTAGAAACACACCCGTTAGAAGCAAACCCTCTAGAAGCACACCTGTGCCGCACGGCGCGGAACATCCGCTCCTCCGCTTTGAAGCGCCTCTCCTCTGCGCGGAACGCCACGTCATCCGCGCGCCACCGGCGCAGCTCCTCCCGCCACTGCCGCTCCTCCTTCCGCCAATCGCGCGCCGTCCACGTGTCCAGCGCCGTCAGCGCCGCTTGCGCCATGGTGGCCGCGACGCGTCACTCCCTTCTTGTACGCGCGTTTCGAGACGCCTCAAAATATGATGGCCGCGACGCGTCGCTCTCTCCTTGTACGCGTGCTGCTGCACGACAAGATTAGATTCGACTAGGGTTCCGAGACGGGCTTTAAGTATCAGCGTCGCGCGCCATTGCGGCAACGGGCAAATCATAGGGTTGCCGGAAACGGATTCTAACTATCTCGTTAAATACTCTGTCGTGCGACGGGTGGGATTTGTGCCGTCTTCGCTGTCTGAAAGCGGGCAGACTCGAACTTATATTGTTGTAAGGAGCTCCCCAAGCTGCGTGAACTAGTCATATCGTCATACTGTGAACTTTTATCCAAGTTATCATGCTCTTTTCATTTGTTTGTGTTACGCTGACACGCAATGGTTCTGAAATGTACACCATCACGCAATTTTCCTCTAACATACAGCATATAACGCGTACAAGACCCCCTGAACCTCCTTCTCATCACCATCCCACCCATACCCCACTAAGACTGACGCGATTTTGGGGAACTCGGCTTTGTTCCCAAGCTTCAACAGCCATTTCGTGTCGTGCTGCGCTGGCAGCATTGCCCTGGCTGCTTCGCCTGTGAACTTTGCGGGCGAGGTGAATTCGACCAGGCGCGGACGCGTTGACTACCCTGTTCAGGGTGCTCTCTCGTTCGTTAGGCCTCTTTGTTTTGATTGATCCGTCTCCGCCTAGACTGACCGTCTATCATTCTCGAGGCGTTCGATAAGTCTCACCGTTGATCGTTCCCAGCGTCGATCAATCTCAGCCGTTTGAACAATCTCGATCGTCGATCAATCCTGAGACCGTCAATCAATACTGACCGTCGATTTTGGATTGTATAAAGGCCAGCAACCATGGGTGTTCTCGAGAAGATCAAGGAGATCGAGCTGGAGATGGCTCGCACGCAGAAGAACAAAGCCACGGGTGGGACCCAGGGATGGGTGGTGTGGGATTGGTGGTCCTGAATGGTGTCAGGGGTGGGTGTCCTGGATGGGTCGTATGGTTGGGTTTCACGACTGATGCATGTGCGCAATCTTACAACCAGACTCACATCCCTAAATGGCTGCACTTGATTATCATTGCGCTATCATGATGATCCTCGTCGCACGGTCTCATGGTCTCATGGTCCCATGGTCGCATGGTCTCATGGTCGCATGGTCTCATGGTCGCATGGTCTCATGGTCCCATGGTCGCATGGTCTCATGGTCGCAATGTCGCATGGTCTCATGGTCTCATGGTCTCATGGTCTCATGGTCCCATGGTCGCATGGTCTCATGGTCCCATGGTCGCATGGTCTCATGGTCGCATTGTCGCATGGTCTCATGGTCGCATGGTCGCATGGTCCCATGGTCGCATGGTCTCATGGTCGCATGGTCGCATTATCTCATGGTGGCATGCCGTTAAAGTCCTTGTTCCATCCTACTAGCTTGCCCTCTATTGCCATCTCTCAATGTGTATTCCATCCTCGTTATTGTCTGTCTGTCTCGAATTCCTCCCCGCGGTGCAGAGTACCATCTGGGTCAGCTCAAGGCGAAGCTAGCTCGCCTACGAACACAGCTGCTCGAACCAGCCAAGGTGCGGCCTGTCCGCCATATAAGCCATGCTCTCTGTGCATACATCTCTTGGAAGTAGCCAAGGCGAAGTCTGTACGCCATATAAGCCATGCATCTTCTAGATTCTGCTCCTGAAACCAGACCATGGTGAGTCAATTCGATTCTTCTAAGCGTGTGGTGTGGGCTCAAGGGTCGCACGTTTACAAGTTGTTTGCCAAACAGCATTGGCTCACATCTGCTCACATTGGCTTGCATTGGCAGAGAGGATGCAATGCAGAATACTTTTGAGGCGCCTCAAAAGCCATTGGCGGAGCAGAGAGGATGTAATGCAGCGTACTAACAGCTGGCTGCTTAGGACTGTGATCCTCCTCCCTGCCCCTCCCAATCCTCCCTTCTCCCCCCCACCCTTGCCTGCAGGGCTCGTCAGGAGCAGGCGAGGGGTTTGAGGTGACCAAGTTCGGCCACAGGCGAGTGGCACTCTTCGGTCTTCCTCTTCCCAGTGTGGGGAAGTCCACCCTGCTCACTGTGCTCACTGGCACTCGCTCAGAGGCAGCCGCGTACGAGTTCACGACATAGAAGGAGTTCCTTGCTTACTCCCCTCTCAGAGGCAGCCGAGTACCAGTTCACGACTTCACACCACAGGAAGGGGCTCCTTGCTCCCCCCCCCCCCCTCCCCTCTAACCTCCCTGCTACACTAAAACTCCTCTCTCTTCCCTCCCTTCTCCCGCTCCCCTCTCTGCAGGGTTCCTCAGGGGCGGGCGAGGGGTTTGAAGTGACCAAATTCGGACACGGGCGAGTGGCACTCATTGGTTTCCCCAGTGTGGGAAAGTCAACTCTTCTTACTGTCCTCACTGGCACGCGCTCAGAAGCAGCCGCGTATGAGTTCACAACGCTGACGTGCATCCCGGGCATTATCAACTACAATGACACCAAGATTCAGCTGCTGGATTTGCCAGGGATTATTGAGGGCGCGTCCCAGGGCAAGGGGCGTGGGAGACAGGTGGGTGGAGGGGGGGAAGGGAGGTGGGAGAGGGGTAGTGTGTGTGAGTGAGTGAGTTCACGACGCTGACGTGCATCCCTGGGATTATCAACTGCTGGGCTTGCCGGGAATCATTGAGGGCGCGTCCCAGGGCAAGGGGGGTGGGAGACAGGTGGGTGGGTGGGTGGGTGGGTGGGAGAGGGTGTGGTGTGGCGTGTGTGTGTGAGTGATTGAGGAAGACTGAGTGAGTGTGAGTGAGTTCACGACGCTGACGTGCATCCCTGGGATTATCAACTACAATGACACCAAGATTCAGCTGCTGGATCTGCCGGGGATTATCGAGGGCGCGTCTCAGGGCAAGGGACGCGGGAGACAGGTGGGTGGGGGATGAGATGTCGGCATGAGAAAGTGAGTGAGAGAGCGAGAGTTAGGGAGTGCGCATCTATTTGGTCTGGGTGAAATTGCCAATCGGTTTACACAAACGCTTTTTCAGTATGGAGATGCTTCTTCCTTCACCCTCTACCTCGCCCTCTACCTCGCCCTCTTCACCTTCCTTATCCCCACCTCTTGCACTCTTTTCCCAACTCCCATTCCTGCCTGCCTGCCTGCCTGCCTGCCTGCCTGCCTGCCTGCCTGCCTGCCTGCCTGCTTTCCTGCCATTCTCTCTCTCTCTCTCCCGGCCTGCCTTGTCCCCATCAGGTCATTGCAGTCGCCAAGTCGTCAGATCTCGTGCTCATGGTTCTGGACGCGTCCAAGGTGAGATTCTGGTGGACGCGTCCAAGGTGAGATTCTGGTGGACGCGTCCAAGGTGAGATTCTGGTGGACGCGTCCAAGGTGAGATTCTGGTGGACGCGTCCAAGGTGAGATTCTGGTGGACGCGTCCAAGGTGAGATTCTGGTGGACGCGTCCAAGGTGAGATTCTGGTGGACGCGTCCAAGGTGAGATTCTGGTGGACGCGTCCAAGGTGAGATTCTGGTGGACGCGTCCAAGGTGAGATTCTGGTGGACGCGTCCAAGGTGAGATTCTGGTGGACGCGTCCAAGGTGAGATTCTGGTGGACGCGTCCAAGGTGAGATTCTGGTGGACGCGTCCAAGGTGAGATTCTGGTGGACGCGTCCAAGGTGAGATTCTGGTGGACGCGTCCAAGGTGAGATTCTGGTGGACGCGTCCAAGGTGAGATTCTGGTGGACGCGTCCAAGGTGAGATTCTGGTGGACGCGTCCAAGGTGAGATTCTGGTGGACGCGTCCAAGGTGAGATTCTGGTGGACGCGTCCAAGGTGAGATTCTGGTGGACGCGTCCAAGGTGAGATTCTGGTGGACGCGTCCAAGGTGAGATTCTGGTGGACGCGTCCAAGGTGAGATTCTGGTGGACGCGTCCAAGGTGAGATTCTGGTGGACGCGTCCAAGGTGAGATTCTGGTAAACTAGGTGTCAACTAGTTATCTAAAGTTATCTAATGTTTTTTAAGCTGAGGGAGTTGTCACTCGCTCATACTTTGTTAGCACCCAAGTCGCCTGACCTCGTGCTCATGGTTCTTGACGCGTCCAAGATGAGATGGGGTAGACGTGTTGCAACACATGCTTCCGACCTGCGTCCCCCATTTCCCTCTCCCTTTCCGTCCCCCTTTCCCTCCCTCTGCCCCCCTCCCCGCGTCACATTCAGAGCGACACCCACCGCCAACACCCCTCTGATGCCTTAGTCCAAGACTCTTAGAAACCAACTGCGAGCTTGAGTCTGTCTCTTCCTGACTTTCAGTCTATATTTTGCCACCCACCCCAACCCCTTCCACACCCCCACCCACCGCTCTGCACCCTCCTCTCCCTTTCATCTCTTCAGAGCGACGCCCACCGTCAGATCCTCACCAAGGAGCTCGAATCCGTGGGGCTGCAGTGTGTTCTGTACCGAGTCTTGACACGTGCCTCCTCCCCGCTCCTTCCCCCCATCTCCCTCTTCCCCCTTCCCACTCAGAGCGATGCCCACCGTCAGATCCTCACCAAGGAGCTCGAATCCGTGGGGCTGCGCCTGAACAAGCCAACTGTCTCCCCTCTCTTGCTCCTTCATCTGTACCCATCCACCACCCTCCACCCCTCTCAACACCTGCAGAGCGACGCCCACCGGCAGATCCTCACCAAGGAGCTCGAATCCGTGGGTCTGCGCCTCAACAAGCCAACTGTCTCCTCGCTCTTGTTCCTCCTTCTGTACACCCCCCCTTCCCCCTCCACCCCCTCTCATCTCTCCAGAGTGACGTTTACCGTCAGATCCTGACCAAGGAGCTCGAACCCGTGGGGCTGCGTCTGAACAACCCACCTGTCTCCCCTCTCTTGTTCCTTTATCTGTACCCATCCACCACCCTCCACCCCTCTCAACACCTTCAGAGTGACGCCCACCGTCAGATCCTGACCAAGGAGCTCGAATCCGTGGGTCTGCGTTTGAACAAGCA